TTTTAAAACGTAGATGTGATATTATGTACGTGTAAGAAGACTTCATTTTAATGAGATACAAATTACTTAGTTGTCAGCTGTCGAATGACGCTGGAATCGTTCTTGAGATTAAATGAATTAGATTGATAACAGGCAGATATGATTATTTTGCATGATCAGTTACGTCGAGTAAATGATTAGAACAATTAACTTTACTATTTTCGAAAAAAAACGTGATATGACATATTTTAACAAATATTAGGATTAAAATACTTTAGATTTAAGAAAAAACGTTTCATTCAAATAAAAACATTTAGAAATAGATTAATTGCGATTGTTAATAACTTAAGAGATATGTGATTTTTAAAAAAATTTCAAACAATTAAACTCAAACTCAACCTTTTGTGACTTCAACTTAACATCATCCGTTGTGACATTTTCTTTCCAAATATATCGTATCATTTTTTAGACTTATATGATCATCCAATTGAACATGAACACGACAGTTTTAATAGAAAAAGTTGATTAAATACTGAAAAATAAAGAGTAAAAGGAAATCTGTCTTCTTGATTACAGACATATTCTTTCTTATCTATGTCAAATCTCATTATTGTATAAATATCAGTCTTTTTTTTGGATATACATAAAAAAACGGAGTTTACATTTTTCTTTCTTCAAATTTATTCGTATAAAATTATTTTTGTCTGAGAGGATGTTTTCATCGTACGTCAATAAATGTAGTTTTGTTTTTTTATATTATTGCAGAATATTCTGTATTCTTGTTCGTGTAACTGTTGATAACTATCTCTTTCGATTGTTAGTTGAATGAATACAGACATGTTATGTTTGTTTGATTATTTACTGTTTAAACCATGCACATATTGATATCTAAACCTTTCTCTCTCTCTCTTTCTCTTCCCGTTCATTTTACTAAGGCGATTTATTTTTATTCTTTTCTTTCTATATGTTTTTTGTAACAGAATGTATGAAAAAAATTAGTTTATTCTTGCTCACTCTCTGTCACTGATAATTGAACATATAAATGTACATGGTTTTTCTCTTTCTTTGTGTCTCTCTCTCTCTTTCGCTATTGAACGAATAATATTAATTTCAACTGTATTCTTAACTTATCCAATGTATTATGAATAACACAATCTATAACAGACTATTGAATTACAATCGATTGAAGATGGAGATGATCGTATAACTCATCCTCCTTCGTACGTTTAAAAAATTCATCTAAAAGACAAATAGAAAGAATTATGATTTGCACAGGTATGAAAAAGGCTTTGTTCTATGCAATGAATTAAACCTCTTGCGTAAGTTGGTCTTTTAAGCGTGTGAACAGCAAAGAATGACGCTCTGACATACAAAAGATCGTAGCTCATACCCAAAATATATAGATACTTTCGTTATATACAGGACGTACGTTCAGATTTTATAATAGAATTCAGAATGTGAAAGCAATAACATGTTACATATCTGCATATACTCCGCCTTTTCATAAACATCAAACATGTATCTAAATTTCCTAATGTATATATCGTAAGATGCCAGAAATTCAAAATCATAGCAAATTCTTCTTTTCATTTATTTACACATGGTTAGATAGAACACATCGAACTGACGTGAGCAAAATAAAAACTGTTTTGTAATGTTTTAAAAAGATCGTTTAAAAAAGAAAACTTGAAAAAATTAGAAGGATCTAAAAACTGAGTATGAGAATGATGCTTGATCAAGGTCGAAGTCAAAGGTCTATCCAGTATGGATGTCTTGGATTCATCTCTGTAAATGAAATTTTCAAGAAAATTTTCGTTGATTTTCATTCTTTGGTGAAAATTACACTAATTTTTCGATGTGGAAAAAAAATAATAAAAAAAGTATATCATTCGTCTCAGTTTTGGACGCTGATTCCGAATATGATATTTTTATTGCATAAGAGTTGAGTTCTGATGGAGAAAACTGAGAATTGTGGGCAGAAGTCCGATGTTTTTTGTGTCTTATTTAGAAAAAATGAATTTTCTTAGCGACAAAGCAAAATGGAAAAAAAGCGGTGCATACTTCTAAAGTTCGTTTAATGACGGTCCTAACGAAATAAAAAAATCGGCTTTATCTCTTCACCAAAAAAACTACAGTTCTTTGGTGTCAAATTCAGGGTGGAAAATTTTGATATTTTCAATCTTGTAGAATAACTTTTAAAAGTTCATTCTAGGCTTAAAAGGTACAGAATTTTGTCTAGTATTTAATGATATGTTTCGGTTAGAATATATCGTTATGCTTTCTTTAAAACTTCTGAAACAGTAAAGTCCGTCAAAAAATATTACTGCCACCTGAAAAGCAGGTTGTTTTGTAAGCAGATTTTTCTATCACGCATAGCCATAAAGGTACCAAAAGATTCAGCTTTCCAAGCTCTACAAAATCCTATGAATGAGATAAAATAATAACATTTAGTTTTGATACAAAAAAGAGTAAATTTGATTCTAGTTTTCTATGAAAAACAAAAAGTTTGAAAAACTAAGCACACGTATTTTTTGTATAAGATTTAAATGGTAACAGTCCCGTTTATAGACCAGAATATCAGAACTTCTTTGCACTTGTTTACACTTGATGCTCGGTTGAAGACACCATAGTCTTATAGTGGAAAAAAGTGGTTTTGAGGAGAGTTTACTGTTTTGGAAGTTTTAAAGAAAGCATAACGATATATTCTAACCGAAGTATATCATTAAATACCAGACAGAATTCTGCGCCTTTCAAGCCTATAACGAACTTTTAAAAGTTATTCTACAAGGTTGAAAATATCAAAATTTTCCACTCTGAATTTGACACCAAAGAACTGTAGATAGATTTGCAAAATTGTTTAGGAACTTTTAACAGAGAGGAGTACAAGACATCCATACTGGATAGACCTTTGACTTCAACCTTGATCAAACATCATTCTCATACTCAGTTTTTAGATCCTTCTAACTTTTCAAATTTTCTTTTTTAAAAAATTACAAAAAACAACTTTTTCTTGCTCACGTCAGCTCTATGTTCTGTATCCAACTGTGTGTAAATAAATGAAAAAAAAAGAATTTTCCATGATTTTGAATTTCAGGCATCTTAAATAAGTCATAAGTAACACCTAGATCAATTCGTAAAAATCTTTGAGAAACTTTTCTGTTTAACTTTTTAACAGTACTTTTTACTATTGAGTCTGACAAAGATTTATCTATGATTCATGCCCAATAGGATAGAAGTAAATATATCTATGATCTATTGATCATCTCAAAACGTTTGTTTAACACTTTCACTGTCCGTGTATTATATATGATTCATTTAATTTTTGACCATGCAGTTCATGTATCAGATATGATACATTTGCAGGATTAGACTAAATATGATTTTGATTAAAAAAATAATGTTTCTGAACTTGTAAATTTTATTTTACGTTTACTTTTTCAAAAGTTGATAAACAAAATGATTTTTTTACAAGTTTCACACTCCGTAGCCACTTGCTTTGCCTAATTTGATGCCATTTCTGTGTCCGACGTATTTTTTATGTCACTGTAACAGCCGTGCCATCTTTTTCGCGTAAGTTTGCCATCTTTTCGAGGAATATTTCGTAAACAGTATTTCATAAAACACCTATAATACATACCGTAAAAAATCTACAATAATTCACTATACAGATTTTATAACACAATTAAATGATCTAAAAATGTATTCATTCTCCTGACGTCATGTTGCGTCCTGTACTTGATGTAATTACTGTACATTATATGGATACTATGACAATAATTGAATCATATATGATTTATGAACTTGTGAGTGAATTTTTTTCTACTATACGTCCTGAATCATATAATCAAAAAAATTTAGAGGTTCCCGAAGGAACTTTTGTGCATAAAAATATATAAAAAACTGTCATTTGACTTTCATAGTAGCATTATCACATATTATCTAAAATGGACGTATAGGTACTGTTTTAGGTTTTTTTGTGGATAGTGAAAGTGTTAAAGATGATAAAATTTGTACGATTTAAGCACACTAGTATACGTCTTTTTAAGTTCAAACATTTTATAAAAATTCTTGATTTCAGATCAAGTCAAGTTCGCATCACTTTTAATATTATTTATTAGTATGTGTTTAAGAGTTAGAATATTCTCTTTCTAATTATTCTTTCATTAGAAATGAAAATGTAATAAGACTCGTTTTTTTGTGTAAATTTACCATATCAATCAATCAATCAATCGATGTGTTGTCATTTTACGGATAAAATTAATTGTCCTAGAGGTTAAAATAATTTTCTTTCTTCTAAAGCTAATAGAATAATTATATTTCGGTGTTATTTTCGTTGTTATTTTCCTTGGTTATAATGTAATATACATACACACACACACACGTATATACTCACTTATCATAGATGTGTGAATTTTTAATGAACTTTCATTAAGTGTGTTACATTCTTCAAAGGACTTTTTTTTTTATAAGGTTATCAGATATACTATTTATTATACTTGAATGATGGTGAAGAAGAAAGTAATGATTTTTAACAAATAAAAGAGAACATAAATACCGTGTACGTTTTTGTGACGAAGACGAGGTCAATTATTAAGTAAACTAAAAAGTAACCGATTCAAATCATGTATCGCAAAACAGAAAAGTGAAAGTATTTTATGTTAACACTATTTTATTCGCAAAAAAAGATAGTCAAGAACGTATTCTTTTTCATTAGAAATCTCAGATTTCGGTGAGTTTACCTTTTTTCCAGTAGAAAATCTGATATTTTCAGCTAGAATTCCACCAGAAATGAATTTTGCCCGGTTTATCATCGCGAAGAAAAACAGCATTCAACTAACAAGTTGATTCTTTTTTCTTAAACTTTATTTATAATATCTAACATTGTAAATCAAATTGAAATGAGGTCGATTACTATCTATGACTTATTCATCATCTTTTTTGATTCGCGTTGATTTATTATACAGCAAATACAAAATCCTTCTTCTATTTCACCGAATAAACAATTCTACCTGGTGAAAATCATGAACAACTACTACCTTTGGACATTCGTAGGCGATCTGGGTATGATGCATTGATTCACTCATCATTTAAACTGTGTTTGAGTCAAACCATAATGAAATAATCATTTTGTTTTGACCTTGAAAATGTGTCATCGTTGTTTTTGAACAGAAAGAAAATGTGTGATATTTTAATAGGTGTTATACGATCAGATGACCTCTTCTTCCTCTCTTTCACGTGTGTCATTTACCTTGAATGTTGTTCAATTATTTTTTAAAAGATTTTTGGTAATGTGTTGTTTATTTTTAAATATAACTTTTTCTCATACGTCTCAACACTATTATATGTGTGTGTACGAAACAGATCCTTGGTTTAACTCTTGTGTGTGAATTACAGCAGAAAGGTAAATAACGATTGCAGCACAATGAAAAGAAAGAATATCTTTCTTTTCTCTTCTCTTTCTACTATATCGTCCATGTTTCTATAATGTGTGATTAACCATTTCACAAATATCTCCCACTTCTCTTTCTTACTATATCAAATCTCAAATGGCATCCTACCCTTTTTTCAAGAAGTAATAATCATCATCATTGCACGTTGACGATTTAAAAAAAAAGTCAACATCTAAACAACATTTAGTGTTCTTGGTAACTGTTACAGGGAAGGAAAGAAAAGCTACGACAATTTTCTTTTCTTTTTTCACAGTAGTGCTAGTAAAATTATTTTAGTAGGATTTCAAGTGTTGTAAAAAAAAAAACCGAAAGAAAAAGATCGACTCCTTTATCGATTTGTTTTACTCATCACCTTTTTCTTCTTTGTGGTTCATTTATATGATTAAAACTATGTGGTGTTGGCGGTTATTTTACTACGAATGTATTTGATTATTGAAGAAGAAATAAATGATGACAATGGTAATGATAAAAATCAAGTTGTAAAACAAATTTATGCCGGAACAGGTTTGAAATTTGTGTGCAATATGGACTAATATTTGAATAATAATTGAAAATATAAACTCAAGTTACACATACATCTCTATGTATATATACACTACAGTTTTCTTCTGTTTGTTCTAAATAAATAACTTTTATAACAAATAATTTAAGCGTACAATTTAAAAATATACACGTTTTCTACAGTAACAAACAGGAAAAAGAATGTAAACGAAGTGATTATATATATACAAGGTAACATTTATGACGAGTAACTGTTCGTGAGATTACTATCAGAAAAATACAGTTACGTTCGGAATGTGAATGCCGAGAATATACTAGTTTCTTAAAAAGTCCATTGATTTTGAAAGAAACTTTACTATAAGAAATATCTTCACAAGAAGAATTAAACAGCATTTTATTGTACATTATTAATTTGAAACCATAATAAGATTACTCCTCGGTTGTTCTTTTTTACACCTTTCGATTTATTTAGTCATAATCACAATAAAAACATCACTTTTATAAACATGTATGACACGTGAGATAAGAAGATATACGTTCAGCAACGAAAAGACTCAAATATCTATATTGATTTTCAGGTTTTTTTTATACTTAGATTATATTTTATTTTACGGATTTTCTTATAGGTAATACTAGTTTTGTGGATCGAAATTTTTCAATAACTGATGATCAACATTTGACAACAGCATCCTCCTCGTCGTCTACATCCTCTATTCCATCACCAATCTATCATTCGTCTTATTATCGTCATCCACGATCGTTAAATCAAAATAATCATGAAAATAGGTCTACAACTGTTCCAGAATCAAAAACTCGTCCAAATTCCATACCACGATTTCTATCAAAAACTGATGATTTGACATCTATAACTTTAATAGACGGTGAAAACAGTGCTATAAATAGTGTAAGTAAACGGCGTCGTTATGCGAGTGAAGAACCACCATCCATGACAACAGCATCATTAGTCAATACATTCTTACAATATTTACGCGACGGTTTACGTTCAACGAGTCCTAAAAATGTTCATCAAAGAGTTAATCAGGTATAGAATAATGTGTGCTACGAAAGACAACTAAAATGTGTTAAAAATCTGACTTTTATGACAATAATAGATGTTTCAAATGCAATGTTAAACAGTACATTCTAGAATAGTTCTTCGAGGATCTTTCTGTCGTCTATAGTCAAAACATCATCATTTGAGGAAGTTGGCTTGTGAGTAAGCATCGTGTGAGCAAATTAGCTGCAATTTGCTTTTTCCCTCGAAAGACAATCATGTTGGATTCCAAAAAATGCTCCAACTATTAAGTTGAAGAAGAAATTAAAAAATATATGTCAAAATATTGTTATTTTGTTTTTTGATGATAAAACAATACTTCTTTTCTTTCTTTCACATATTTTAAATACAGTTTTCTAGTATCGTTATTATTAGAAAAGTACAAATGGGTTAAATTGTTGGTAAAACTGAAAAATCTTATGTAGACTGCTTTTAAATATACTGTCTCTAGTCTAGTCGGTGTATCATGAATGATATGTACAAGAAACCATATTGTAAAAAGATAACGTAACCATGGGCAAAAGATAACGTTTGTTTTTTTGCATAGTTTGCAATGCGGACAGAAAAAAAGCAGACCGTTTAATCATAATGGTAATATGAACCGTACCGAGATACTTTTCAAGTGTCGATAGACTATTTCTTTAGCAGTCATGATAACTAAGAGAAGTTGTTTAGAACTAAAATTAAGATGCCTTCTAAAACTTCAAGATACAGTAGAAGTGGTAACCAATAAGCATTAAACTGTCGTATATGTTCACGAAAGGTACTTGGATTTTGATTAAATAAGAGAACATAATCATAATACAGAGATTTGTGCTATTAATATTTTCTGTCAAAACTGATGTGCTTTATCATTATCGAAATATGAACATTACTCTATTAGCGTCATTTGGTCTACGCCGATTTTTGTTCAATAAATATGACAATCTTCTCCTGACGCTGAAATATGCTGAAAGCATCAGAATACAGTGAATAAGACAAATAGATAATAAAAACACTTGAACACAATGTAAAAATGCGTCATCCAGATAAATATTGCTTGTGGGTTAATATTACCTGTATCTGCATGATGCATCAGTCGAGTATATATTCATCTGTGTCATATCACGATTAAGAGAGTCTAAAATAAAACCGCTATAGATAATTGAACATTGTTTTCGAGTAAAATATATCATGAATAATATATTATTGTACTCTCATTTTGATATAGTATTTGACTAATTGTACTTTATTTATTTGATTTTAGAGTCGTAGTCGAACGCCGAGTACCGACAGTGGATCTCCGTCAGATAATCGCTTATCAAGTACATTTAATTTATCAACACATTTTTATCGTCATCAATATCCGGCTATTTATACAAAATCGTTACGAATGGTGTTTCAATCACCAAATTCGACTTCAACATCTACTCATAGGTTAAATAATGATTCAGTGTTATCGAACGACAATGCTCTAATTAACACTAGTATACCATCAACGCCAATTACATCTGATCAAGATATTCTTGATAGTGAAATACTAACATTAGTGGATTTACTTGTATTACGTGTTGCTTGTTTGTCAGAATCATCCGACGAAATACCGCGACCTACTGTGGCTGAAGTCGATCAGAATCTAATTGAATATCTCTATTATTTATTTACAAAGTTTATTGTTACTGCAGACACATCAGTTTCTGATGCTAATAGTACAGATGAATCTTTAATAGATAAGAAGAGTTTTATTCAAATTTGTCAGACTCTCGTGAAAAATGGATGTTTTGATATGTCTTCGGTATCTGTATCCCCTACTACTTCACAATCGACTGAAGATACAGTTCTAGAATATGTTAATAACGATCAAAATAAAAATGACTTGTCAACAGCAACAATCACAGACGAAAAACAGAATGAAACTGCTACTGAAGAAAATACCTGGCTCATGGTAGATATTAGTGAGAGTGAATTAAGTAAAGACGAAAACGATGTATCATCTCTTAATTCATCAGTAAATACAAATGAACAACTATTAATGGTAAGAGTAACCCTATTTTTTCTACCACATTGAACTAACCAATGATAGCTGTGAGAGAACTTCGGTGGAAACTTTTACAGATTACTATATGGATACACTATCAAAAAAAAGTGTCTTGATAAATCACTTTGATGGATTCAGAATGCATCTACCGCGCGCAATGAAGGAAAGAGTATTATAAGAAGATATTTTCTCTATTTTAGTAAAGCAAGCAATCTCACGATATTTAAGTTCTATTCCAATTTAATCGATTATATCGATAAAAACAGTAGTTTGCCCATTCGCTGCCTCATACAAAAATGAGTTTGCCTCTAAGGCGCCTAAAGTACATTCATTTTTAAAAAATGCACCTCTTTTTCACAATGTACTGCTGAAAATACTAGACCTATCACCTAGCACAGACTTAGTTCCCTAATTAAAAAACTTATATTTTTTTATCTGTACTAGGGGTGGGAGGACAGTTCCAGTTCCGATAGTTCCTAAGAACTCGTGTAAAGAACTGGTCACTAGTTGAGTTCCTATTGAACGTGAACTGTCCCATCCCTAATCTGTACATAATTAAAGTCTATTATCTCATCTTTATGGATCAGTGGCAGTCGGGCTTGAAATTAACGATAAGAGATAGAAGGTTTTTTACATAAACCAATTTTTTTGATTATTATGTATGTGTTGCCAATTAACAGTTATTTTCAAATTAACCTCGCTCCATGCAGTTCATCAACCATACAACTGTCAAGTTTTTAACACATTTTCTTACTTTCTCTCTCTTGAAGGTTTGTAGTGATAATAGTTCTAATGCTTTTATCTCTGTGAAGATCTTTCTTGCGTTCTTTCGTGTCAATTAAATATATCCTCTATCTCAGAAGGTTACTATGTTATAATTATAAAGGCGTAATATCATGTTTTATTTGCTTATATATATACTTTTCTTATTTCTTTTATGTTCAGTGTGCAAAAAACAATATACAAGCATTAGAAGTACAAAGCTATGTTGAGTCAATAACAACATTGTCAAATGTCGATGTAGAGAATGACTCTACAACAAATAATGGTGACGCTGCTGTTGCTAACTATTTAACATTGGAAGAAATTCAGAATTGTTGTGAATTCCCGGATTTAGATAAACAATCGGAAGAATCTTCAAAAAGTATTTATTTATCACCAAATTCAAGTATTGTCGACATTGTGCAAGAGTTTGACGATGCTCAACTGAATATATTACAAAATAATGACAACGAAGGTACGCATTTAGACATTTCATTATTTTTAGTGATCATTAGAATATGAGCCTACTTCAAAATGAATGAGCATTAATAAGCTTTGACTTAAAAATAGAATTTTCTCATACTTTATGTAAGATTTAAACTTGGACAAATTACTGGATTAGCTCACTACTCTTAACGCACTTTCAAATATTGAAAACTGCAAAGAAAAGATTAAATTTTGTCCAATTCCTTCTAAAAGTCTGTAGGATTGACGAGTTGAAGTTAAAATTCGAAAATAGACAGATTTGTTCACTTTCTTTTTCACGGACGGAGACACAATAAACTATACAGTGCTTTAAAATCTTTTCAAGATAAAGTGCTGATTTGTTGTGGAAGGATGAAAGGATTGTGTCTTATTTGAATAATTTATATTTATAATAATAATTTATTGGATATATGTTGATTTCTCAACATATATTCACTAGTTTTTTCATTTTACACGACTTTGTGCTTCTGTTTTTGTTGTATCGCTTACACAGCTTATGAATTTTTGTTTTTCTACTCATAGCCACTTAAAGAAACCACTAGTATAAACAACGAAATTTTTGAATTGAATGAAATTTTATTTCGAACATTGAATAGGCAGCTTGTGACACTTTACAGCTCAGTCACCAAAAGACGTTAGAGAAAACTTTCTGGTAGTTTTAGTCAGTTCGGTGAGCTGCACCGAATGGCAGAAGTCAAAAAAACCTCGAAAAAGTGTTTGTCAAACAGACAATGCCATTCGATGCGGCTCACCGAACTGACTAAAACTACCAGAAAGTTTTCTCTTATGTCTCTTGGTGGTTGAGCTACAGGTACAAACTTCCTTGTTGCAAGTCATCTATACATTTTATTTATATTTCAATAGTAACTCTTAATTCATATTGATTTTCTCTTAATTAACAAGGTTATTTTGAAACTTAATAAGAATCTGAAAATTTTCATATTTAGAGAGACTGCTCAGATAAGATTTTGGTCCAAAAATAATATTTCAGTACTGATAAACCTCTAAATTTCGTGAATAACAATGACTTTGACAAATATTACGCGATATCCAAAGTACACACTGTCGATAAAGGCATCAAAATATATCTTAAATTGAAACTTTAACGTAACTAGGTCTTAAAAAAATTGAATAAGTTTGAAACGCTTTTAATCTTTTAACTTTGGCCAGTAATAAAGATTCTCTCGGTTTCTTCGAAAAAGCACATATTTCAATATTTTTACTGAAAAAGAAGAACTTTCTGATTTGTAGAATGATTGCATAAATTTTTGCGATATTTCGAATTAAATCACTGTCAAGATCCGGGACTAGCGCACCGAGTCTACGACAAGATAGCTTGTCACTCTACGCAATTTTGCTAGGGCGATTTAACTCATTTTTACTGAAAAATGAAGCTTAATCTTGTTTTTAGCGCATTTTTATATATTTTGTATGTGTTATATAGCTTTTTCAACACAAGACCCAAGACTTAGTAGCTCTACACACCACTTTTGAGTGAACTACAAATCCACTCCTGTAACGCTATTAGATAGTTACTACTACCGTAAATATGTACTCATTTTTAAGTTCACAATAAGCGGTAAAAAATGGTATACCAAAATCACTTACAATAACTACGTTCGTATGATTAAAGAAAGAAAATTGTCTCCTTAGGAGATTTTTATTTGACCAATGCCCATCAACTGTTTCCAAAAATGTGTCTTAAGAGCTACTACAATTATAATAAGTTTTTCATAACAAGGGAAATTTTTTATAACAAAAATTAGGAAAGATCAAAGTATTTTCTCTAAAACTATTTTTCTTATATAACCACTATGATAGCATACATTAGTCATGTTTACCACCACAAAGAGAAAATTCACGTTCACTTAGGCAAAGGGCGTGGCTAAAGGATTTTATCTTATCCATTATCAGTAACACATTCAAAATATCACTACTAGTTTATCGAGTAATAATATAGTGACAGTACTGCTTGAACTGAATATCTTCGACAAATATAATGAAAGAAATAATCTTATGCAAAACAAATGAGGCTTCGAAAAAAATAATTAACGTAGATTAAACGACTATCTTGTCGAATTTTTTTCTAAAAGTCCATTAATTCGTGAGCTCAGTAGATTAGCTCTTTTTTAGTGCACACGGTTCTGATTTCTTACAAAATAAATATGTTTATCTACGTAATCTGTCTAACATTACTATACTGAGTGTACGTCACATGACATCAGTTGGATTTTGATGATTATTTAAATTATTGTTCTCTCTCAAAAAGGAGGAAATAAACTTTGGTTTTATTAGACTAATATGTGTGTGCGTGCATGTGAGTGCAAGATACAAATTAAACTTTATTAACAACATTATGGTGTTCAATAGTCCAATGTCTTAAGATTATACATTAAGCTTTACCACTTGTGCACTTCTATACGTAGAAATTTGGTACTGCATGACATTTCGTACATACATAACATTAGATCAATGTTTAGCATTACGCGCATGCTCACATGCGTAAAAGATTTTTTCATATATCAGCTTCTCTTTTTCTACGTTGTAGTGCACATAGTCAATATTGTCTATATATTATTATATGAGTCTCTTATTGACGAACACAATTTTTCTCTAGTTGTAAATAACAGATCATATGCAAAGACTGAAGTTCTCTCAGTTTTAAACTGAAATTCACATTATATTGTAAAAAACCTTGTTTTTACCTCTTAAAAAATCCTCTTCACTTTTGGCAAAAAATGATTTTGATCCCAAAAGGTTTTGAACGTTTCAAAATTCTTTCTCCAGAGTCAAAACATCGGTTCCTATAGAGATAAATTCCAAAACCAAACAGAGTTTTGGACAAAAAAACTTTTTTTTCCGAGTGATAGGTGGTCGTTGTATAACAAAGAGAAAATTAAGACATTATGTCTTTTTTTTCATATCGTGTGTAATATGATGTCGAAAATGTGTATTATTATTATTTCATTTCAATACTTTAACAGGATGTGTTATTTGTCTATACATGCACATGGATATTTATTGTTTCATAATAAAAAAAGAAAATGAAGGATCGGTTACTCAACAGGTATAAACTTTTAATACACGAATGCATACAAGAAATGAAGATCAAATAATTATTTGAAACCCCTTTTTCTCTTTTTTTTCTATATTTGAAGAACTATATTTATTGAGTTGTAAGAATGTGTAGACACGTTTGGTAACAATAAGGATTTTTTTATACTGAAATTTCTAATTATAACTTTCAAATGTTTAGTAGTGTGTTTTGAGTATAAGAAAGTCAAGAAGAAAAAGTAAGTTCTATTATTCCATACTGCACGCATTATTTTTCCCGAAGATTTATCAGTGAAATGCAAGAGGGAATTGCTAGAGGATTGTGAAAAAGAAAATTAAAATTGACAGGTCGTTCAAAGAAGTAAAAAGAGTGTAGACCACGATTAGATGAACTTTATATACTAATTCGAAAAAATGTGTCACTTTTAAACACTTTCCTTTTCTTTGGAAAGCACATGCGATTCTTAAATATCATTCAATAGACTGTAGGAAACATCAAACATTTATATAGCTTTTTGAAAACAAAAAGAACGACTAACGAGGGAATCTTTCGAAGTGATAAACGCTTTTTGTCCGGAATCTAGTGGGTTATAGGTTATCGACCATGCTGATTCCGAATATCAACATGAGACCGACCACTAGGCCTCCCGAGACTGGTTTTCTGGAAAATCAGTTTTTCAGAACTCTAAAAAGTAACCAAAACCTTTCTTAATGAGCCATGATTGCAGCGCGCACATTTCTGATTAAAATGAGACATCTCCCAGCTTTACACAACCTTTCTTTGCAAAGTTAGAACATTTACAAGAAAAACCCTAAATTAATTTCTTCTTATTTCTGTAGCTTTGAGCTGACAATGAACATTTAGGGCTTTTCGTGTAAATTCTATAACTTTGCAAAGAAAGGTTGTGTAAAGCTGGGAGATGTCTCATTTTAATCAGAAATTTGCGGGCTACAATCATACCTCATTAAGAAAGGTTTTAGTTACTTTTTAGAGTTTCTGAAAAACTGGTTTTCTAGAAAATCAGGTCTTCGAAGGCTAAGGGCAACCCATGGTCATATTCGTAATCAGCATGGTCGATAACCTATCGCCCACTAGATTCCGAGCAAAAAGCGTTTAATCACCTCATAAGTATAAAACGATCATTCATAACACAGCTGGAAAACTCATTTCAAAGCTGTAGAATGTGCAAGGGGGAAAAAGCATACTTCTGTACTTCTGGTACTTCTCCGTACTTCTTGATACTTCTTCGTACTTCTTCGTACTTTTTTGTACTTCTCCGTACTTCTGAAGTACGAAGTACGAAATACGGGAT